AGATGCTGGATCTACTGTGGGTCTGGTGGGAGGAAGTTAGGTCACTGGAGGTGTGTCCTAGACAGGAAGACTGAGGCTGCAGCCCACTCCCTAACCTCTCTCCTTTCCTTCCTGGCTACAGTAGGCAGCCTCCTCTATGACTCTCTCTGCCATGATGTTTTGCCTCACCACAGGCCATACTGTGACAGAACAAACCATGAACTAAAGCCTTGAAAAACCATGAGTCAAATAAACCTTTCTTTCTCTATGTTGATTCTCTCTGGCTTTTTGTCACAGCAACAGAGATCCAACTAACACAGTCAAACACCAGCAATGCCGTTTTCCTAATCTGGCAGATGCTTTGTACTAATAAACAAACATGTATCAAAGTCACAGTAGCATGACTCATATGTCTTAGGGTTTCTAATGCTATGAGCAGACACCATGACCAAGGCAACTCTTATAAAGGATAAAGGACAACATTTAATTGGGGATGGCTTACAGTTCAGAGGTTCCATCCATTAACGTCATGCTGGGAAGCATGGCAGCATCTAGGCAGGCATAGTGCTGGAGAAGGAGCTGAGAGTTCTGCAACTAGATCTAAAGGCAGTCACTAGGCGACTGTCTTCCACAGGCAGCCAGGAAGAGACTAGAACTCATACTGGGCGGAGCCTGAGCATAGGAGATCTCAAAGCCCGCCTACACAGTGGTGTACTTCCTCCAACAAGGCCACACTTCTTCCAATAAGGCCACACCTCCTAATAGGGCTACTCCTCACAGTCAAGTATTCAAGCAAACACATGAGTCTATGGGGGTCAAACCTATTCAAACCACCACACTCATGTATCTCTGCCCCATTCCCAGTAGTGCTTCAAACATTAAGATACTTTTCAAAGACCTAAATTCCTGGGACTGGAGAGATGGCTCAGCAGTTAAGAGCACTGGCTGCTCTTGCAGAGGACCAGGGTTCCGTTCCCAGCAACCACATGGTGGTTCAATCATCCATAATCCCAGTTCCAGAGGCCACTTTTGATCTCTGAAAGCTCCAGGCATGCATGTGGTACATATAAACACATGCAAGCAAACACTCAAGAGCAAAGTAGAAGATAAAAATCTCAACTCCTGAATTTCAAAGATTCAGCCTCAAAATGAAAATATGACATTTGTCAGTATTGTTTGTTAGTAGTACTGTTAGTTAGTACATGAGTTACTTGTGCCAACCCAAAATGCTGGGAAGGATGAATGGAGCCATTGAGTCGGCCAGTGGCTGTTCCATAGCCATGTCCCCAAGCAGGAGTGGCCAGCTATCAAAGAGATGAGGATTTGTAGAAGAAGCTGTGGTCTTCTCAGAAAACAAGGGATTGGGCAAGTACTAGCTGACCTCTGGGAAAATGGCAGGTGTTTGCCTGTGTCTGTCTGTGAAGAAAGCATCTTGATAGATACATAGCCCTAGTAGACCTTAAACTCAAAAGTCTCCTGCCTCACCCTCCTAGGCAGAGATTACACATATGCACTACACCAAGTTTGAAGGATGAAGAGTCAGAGGATAAAGACATCATAGGGACACACCTGAAAATGTCCTGATTTTATGATAAACGCCCCCTCTCTGCTCCACTCGCTAGGCACCACAGGAGTAATCAACTTTAGCCAGCCTTCTTATGCCTCCTTCTGAATATCTGTCCCCTTAGTTATTTCCAAGCAAGTTTATACCACTGAAGCCTAAAAGCCTTCAAAGAACAAACTGACTCATAGACCTGGGAGCTAAGGTGACAACACCCTGTAGCTTCTTTCATTCCACACCACCCAGAGTTCCCAGCCACGTATGGTTTTACTTTTAATGCACATTTATCCTTAAAAAAATCACTAGTTTGTCTATGTTTGTTTGTCTGTTTTGAGACAGTGTCTCACACTGTAGCCCATGTAGCCTAGGCTGGCCTCAATCCTCCCACCTTCCTCTCAAATACTGGGATTACAGGTGTTCAACACACCTGGATTTTGTTTGTTTTCTGTGGCAGTGTCTCCCTCTTCCTGGCACTCCTGGCTTTGCTGTTTCCTGTCTCTTCTATTTGGTTTCCTTCTTGGGACATTTGGGCACCAAGTATCCTGGGACCCAGCTTTTAGAAAAACAGCCCAAGTGACCAACCGACTGCCAGTATCCTAAGCAGGCTGGTAAAGGTTTCAGCCAGCCAGGGGAAGCTTTCTCTGCTGTGTTTACCAAGCACTAAATTCACAAAGTCATTAATTCTCTTCAGAAAGGCTCTAACGGAGCTTTCTATTAGTTGTGAGATGGTGGTTGCAGCCCCGGAGATCAAGAAAGCAATAAGGACTCCAAATGGCTGTGGAAGCGGGTGGGGGTGGGGTGGGGTGAAGGGTGTGGGGGTGGGGAGCCCCTCCCCACTCCTCTCTAGCTGTCAGGCTGCAGTGTAAAACAGACATTTGTTAAATCGCCGCCTTATGTGTTTGTTTATGGAGATTATTTTCTTTTCCAGAACATTTAACAATTGTTCACAGACACACAGTGCCCCAAGAATACTATTCTCTGAAATTATATATATATATATATATCCCCTATGGTCTACATTGTCCTGACTTAGAAGCTACTCACTCCTGCATGGTGTGAGAAGGAAACCCAGGCCCAGGGTCACAACTCCCAGAGCCAGAGCTACAGCCCTGTAGCACGACTTAAAAGTCTTTGTTTTTCAGAGGACTCGAATTACTCCTTGGAATCCAGACTCCCATGGAGACCCTTAGCCCTTTCAGGCCCACAAGCACTGCTGTGAGCACTTGCTGGTTATCTTCACTCAGCTTGCAGCCTCCTCAGACCCTGGGGTCTGGAGACAGACAGTGTGCTGATCAGGGTTGAAACATGGCTCCCAAAAACAGAGCCCAGGAGTGGCCCTAGGCTGCCCTCCACAGCGGTGTGACCCTGACTCAGACAAGATGCCCATCAACTTCACGGTAGGCTAGCCTTCTAGAACATACTCTGAGACCCCCAGAGGACTCTCAGAAATGCTGCTGTGGCCTGTGAGCAATTCAAGAAAGCTGTGTTTGAGAGGAGGAGAGTCGTTGCCAAACAGCCCAGGTCTCTAATGTCTAAAATCCCAAGAAGAAATGCGAGTTTCTTAAAGGTACCAGCTCTCGTCTGAAGTGAATCCAGTGCCTGCAAGACCCTGTCCGATGGTTATAGCAGAGGCTTGTCATAAACTCCTGGACAAGTTCCAAATGAAGTCCTCCTGCCTCTGTCTCCTGGGATGTGCAGCCACCTAAGCCTCCCAGGCTTTTAGAATCATCTAGAAAACTTTACATACAGATTTGGATAGCCTGGCCCCTGGGGTTGCAAGGCACCCTCCAGGGGGTCTCTTACCAGGATCAGACAACAATCTGTGCCTGCCACCCCTCTGGGTGCTGAAATGGAGTGTATGTGTGTGTGAGTGTCTGTGTGTGTCTCTCAGTGTGTTTGTGTGTATATATATCTGTGTGATTGTCTGTGTACATGTGTGTGTATGTCTGAGTGTGTGTATGTGTGTATCTGTGTTTCTGTGTGTCTCTCTGTGTGTCTATGTGTCTGGGGTGTGTGTGTGTGTGTGTTTGAGTGTCTGTGTCTGTATCTGTGTGTCTCTGTGTGTGTCTATGTGTCTGGTGTGTGTGTATATGTCTGGGTGTCTGTGTATGTCTGTGTGTGTCTGTGTTTCTGTGGGTCTCTGTGTATGTGTGGCTGGTTGTGTATGTTTGTGTGTGTCTGGTGTGTGTGTGTCTGGTGTGTGTGTGTCTAGTGTGTGTGTGTGTTTCTGTTCTTACCTGGGCACCCTGGGAAGGACAAAAGCAAGATCAGACCCTCCACGAAGTTATCAACAACACACATTCCGTTTCCTCAGGAAACAGAGGTTTCCAACACCTCCCTCCCTCTTCCCAGCTGCCTGTTTGGCCCTTTGAACGTCTAACCTGTCCAGCACCACTATAAGCAGAGTTCCGCGGTGGCAAGGCATGGAGAAGCAATGGGTTCCCTTAATCGTGACTCCATCCCATTCTCTATCAAATAAGGCCGGGGCAGCTGGGCTACTGGGGCACCTTTAGAGACCTAGACTCTGCCAGAGTCTTCGGATAGGATCTAGGATATTCTTTATGCCACATTACTAGAACCAAAGTCAAATCTTGGCTCTGTGGCCTTGGTGTTATTGTATGGATATTGTTGCCCACCTTTCAGAGATACAGGTGTCTTTAGCAAATAATAATGGTGATGCAAATACTTTCATGGCAACCTTAATAAGATAACAACAGCTTATAGGTAGTGGTTACACAGAACTGAACTGTGTGACCCCTCCTATCCCCCACCCTCCCACCTACCCCACACCCCAGTGTTCATGTTGTGGTGAGTGTGAGTATGTACCCAAACTCCTGGAGAAATGGTAGGCAGGAACTGTTCAAACTGCTCAGGTTTGGCCGGGGATCTGACGCTTCCGTTTCCATCCAAGTCTGAGCAAAGATCATCACTGTTAGGTTTTGTTTTTTTAAAGCAACAGGCTGGCTAATCTGTCAAGGATGTGTCCCATCAAGACATATGTTCCTTCAGGCTAGGAGCAGAAGATGCCAAAGCCTCCCTGCTTCTCAGGTTTTCTTCCCTGCCCTGCCACACCGGAGTGGGTCTGAGCAAGGTAAATATTTAAGTGAGTGTCTTGTGTAACTATCACCAATTCAACTGTACTGGGAGCTATAAAGCAACAAGCTGGCACCTGCTTAAGTCGTCCGGCTTCTAGAGGCACTATTTTTGCCAGCATGGGAAGTCTGTTGGCCGCCTGTAGCTGATAGGTAGCAGAACTCTCTGGTCTGTTAATTGTCTAGGAAGCAAACCCTGGAATGGAGAGAAAGAGAAAGGGCCTGTAATTAAAGCTTCCCTTGGGCAGAATTTCCCAGCAAGGGTAGTTGGCAACTAAACTCTCTGGGCTGGGCTTGGGACTTTACAAACTCTGGCTCCTCTAACCCTGACAGCAGCCAGAGAAGAGGCCATTGTTGTCACTCAGAAAGGGAGACTCAGGGCAGTTAAGTGATTTGCTCCAATTCTACAGCTACTTGGTGTCAGAACCAACAGGATGCAATCAAAGTCAGGAAATACATCTGCCTTCTGACAAAGGTAAGCCAGACCACTCTCAGGTAACTCTGGAGCCTTATCAGCAGCCTTGCTCAGATACTGAGCTCAAATCAAGGCTATAGGCACGAGCCACTGAAGAAGGCTAGCACTGCAGAGATGCCCCATAGGCTCAGCCACATCCTGGAGCTTTACAGATGCCCAGTGGGAAATACTTCCTGACTTATTTCAAACTGTGTATTTATTAAGACCCAAGGGTCAGGCCTGCAATCCCAGCACTTGGGAGGCAGAAGCAGCAGGATCACAAGTTCGAGGCCAGCTGAGCCTATGTCACAAGTTCTAAGAAAACAGAGCAGTGTAGGGTGACGAGGGGCTCTGCTGCCTCTAAAAAGAGAAAACTTTGCCTTTGTGATCCTGCCCAGCTGGCCATCTTCTTCTATTCTCTGAACTTGACCAGCTTCAGGTGCCGCATAGCCAGCCTTCCCACCCTGTGTGCCCTGGGGTATCCTGATCCCCTGTAAGCTCTTCAACCATGGTTCTGGCTAACTGTTCCCATCAAAGGTGAAATGTCTTATTCAGAGGCTTTCCAGTTTGGGCCCCTCTCCTCTCTCCACACCTCCTGACAAGGCTGGGCTGTTGTATGCTTACACACTAGGGCTTCTGTGACCCTTGGGCCAGTCAAGAGGTTCAGCTCTGCTTTTCTAGGATGTGCCCAGGATACACACAGAGGACATGCTCCCAGTGCCAGCCGGAGAGCTGAGGGACTGACTAGAGAGAGCCTGAGAATGAAAGCATGGTACACCAACTCCACACTCTATGACAGGAAACATTCTTAATCCTGTCCTTTCAGAACTCCTTTGTGACATGGTTTCCTCTGATGACAGTAGGAAAGGCTGCTTCACAGGGCTCTCCTAAGGAACAACCAAGCACTCAAGGATGACTTGGTGTTCACAAGCTCTTGAGAAAATGGCAATAGGGACCAGAATTGAGAAACTATTAGTGACCACAGAGAGCTGTCCCCAAGTCTTCAGGGAGGTTGTTCTAACAAACAGTTGGGACAATTCATCTCACTTTGAAAGAACCACTTTAACCCAGAAGTATTAATTCAGCAGCTATGAAGAGCTAGCAACAGTGTGAGTTCTTTGTCTCTTCTTTCTTGGTTTCTTCATTACAGGAAACAGAATAATGCCCCTCACCCACAGATGAGATCAGGCACGTTCAGGGTAGTACAGCCGTAACTCACCACCATCACCACAAAGATGTCAATATACCAACCCTAGGAACCAGAGAGCATGCTACCTTACATGGTACAAGGGACATGGCAGATATGACCCAATTAAATACCTTCAGGTGGAAAGAGTTTCCTGGGTTATCTGGTAGACCTACAGCAGACATATGGAGTTTTAAGATATGTCATGAAGTAAGAGATGTACCCAAGAACCAGAGAGATCAGGAAGCTTCTGGAAGCTCCAAAAGACCAGGGGCAGCGTTGTAGATTGCCCTGGTACTATTTGTATTTTGATGCTAACTCTGCTTCCCCAAGAGGGGCTGCCTCTGAGGAGGTGTGACTCAAGTGAACCTTCACACCATTCTAACTTGTAAAATAAAAGCTAAAGTGGGTGATTAGACAGTGGAAGGGAAGGAGGAGCAAAAACTTTTAGAGAGAGAAGAGGAGAGGAGAAGAGGAAGAAGAGAGGAAGAGAGAAGAGGAGGTGGAAGGAAAATGGAGCAGAAGCACATGACCTAAAGAGACCACAAGTTGCAAGGGATCTCCTAGCTGGAGAATAGAGTAGTTTAATGGTAGATCTGCCCAATCTAGGCGCGGTTTGTATTCATGCTAATTGAGTTGTGTTTTCTTTACACGGGCTTATTTGGGTTAGAGATTTACCACAACAAGGCAGGCCTCTCCCTAGCACCCTGGAAGGCATACACCCTCACTGACACCCAGATTGTAGTCTTTCAAAACAGTGAAGCATAGAGTTTGTGCCATCTTAAGATGTCCATAGGCCTAATATGTTCTTCTTGAAAATGAAGGTAATAGCAGAATGTTCCATAGTGTGGTGGATAGCATGCTGACCTCTGGAAACAGACATGACAGCAACCTTCACTCCTGGGGTGCTATTAGCGGGGGAAGCCAACAGAACGGACTTGGCCATCAGTAAGTAGCACTAATTGTTCTTATAGAGTAGTTATCCTACTGTTATTTGCTTGAAGGATCTTGCCTTAGACTGTGTAAACAGGCCCACTTCATCTGCACAGGCTTTAATCAGCTCAACTTGGGTGTAATCGACAAGTCTTAGGACACACTTTTACTGATAGAGTCGCTGGGAGCTAGGAGGAAGTGGCCATCCTGACATTAGGAGCTCCTAACAGAAAGGGGTCAGAGACAGTTCGGTAGGATTGGAAGGGAATTCAGAGGAAGCCCATGGGCAGTGTAGGTGAGGGGAAGTCCTCTAGAGAGGCCAGTCTGGAGCCGAGATAGGCAAACAGCAGAGGTAACAGGCACACAAGACAGACCCCCACCCTCACTGAAAAAGTCCCCTGGGCAGAAGGATGGAGCAGCTAGCCCAGAGCCCCCAGCCTGTGCTCCCACCCAGGTCTTCTGTCGCCCGTGTCTCCACACATTGCCACAAGGCACGAGGAACTGTCAACTACATGGAGACAGGAGATCCATGTAGTTTAAAGCAATCACAGAAATCACTATTCAAGCAAGTGTAAGCATAAATGATAGAAAAATTAAACCAAAAAGATGTATAAGAGTTGCCCTTGGAGAGAGACATGAGGAGGAGGGGCCCAGAAGGATGTGGGTGGGTGAGACTCATGGAGAACTTTCATGGTGTAGAGGCTGGGTTGGTCTGGGATGAGAAGTGCCAGGGACAGGGACATGGGGACCTGACAGATGCTTCTTGCCAAGCTTTCATTCTGAGAATGTCTACACATGTCCCACAAAGTTCACTGATCCCCAAATCAACAATGCCCGAGAAAGAGCCTGATTAGGTCAGAGAGCTTTCATCTAGATGAGTGTTGTTGTGAATTAGATGCCAGGAACTTGTCCTTGTTAGGGAGTTTGGCCCTCCCCTGCTCTCTCTAGGCTTCTGCTTTCTGTCCCAGAATGATACAGCAAGAAGACCCACACTCCTCAGGATGGGTATCCCCTCCTCAGTCAACGCCCCCTGGGCACACCCTTGCAGGCACCACCAGTGGTGGGTTTCCATAGTGACTTTAAATCCAGTCGGGTATACAGTGAAGAATAACCATCTTAGGATGGTTAATCCTGAGTGGTTCCATCCACTGTGCTCATTAGTTGTATGTCAACTTGACGCACAAACTAGGGTTTTCTGAAAGGACTGAACCTCAATGGAGAAGATGTCTTCCACCTCCCCATAAGATCTGGCTGTAAGGCATTTTTAAAATGCGTGACTGACAGGAGAGGGCCCAGCCCATTGTTGGTGACAGCATCCCTCGGCTAGTGGTCCTGGGATCTGTAAGAAAACAGGCTGAGTGAGCCTTGAGGAGCAAGCCAGTAAGCATCATCCCTCCATAGACTCTGCATCAGCTCCTGCCTCCAGGCTCCTGCCCTGTCTGAGTTCCTGTCCTGGCTTCTTCAGTGATGAAGAACAGTGTGAAAGTTTAAGCTGGATAAACCCTTTTCTCCCCAACTTGCTTTTTGGTCATTGTGTTTTGTCACCACAATAGTAACCCTAAGACAACCAGAAGATGGCAAATATGACCATTGTTGTAACTGACTCTCAAGAATCTCCCATAGGATGTAGAAGCTGAGGTAGGGTCTAGCAGCAGGTTCCCAGGTCATTGAAGGGATGCTTCTGTAAGAGTCAGTGCAACCCTTTCCTCCCTCTCTTTTGACTTGGCCATAACATGAGCACTCTGGTCTGCCACACACCTGCACTGTGATGTGTTACAGGAGCAACTGACCATGACTGGAACGTCAAAGAGTGTGTATCAAAGGGAATATCTCTGTCTATAAGCTGATTGCACCAGGTGCCCTATAGCGACAGGAAGCTAACGTGACCATCAGAGCATCTAGGTCCTCCTCCACCCCAGGAAATGGACCCAAGACAGTTCACACAGATCTCAAAGAGGGACCCTGGCAGTGACAGACTACACATCCTCATCTAGGGAAACTGAGACCAAGGAAGTAGAAATGTGAAGGCTGACAGAATTGAGCGACTACCCCCACCTGGAGTCAAGGGACCAAAAAACATTTCCACGAAAGAAGGGGCTTGACTAAAACACAGAAGAAACCAATCGTGTGCATGGCAGCAGTGGTGACGTGCGTCCTGAAGGGTCTGTCTCTTCCTGAGTGCTTGTGTCAGATACATGTCTTGTTACTGTGACAAAATACCCAACAAAAAGCATCTGAAAGAAGGAAGAATTTGATTGACTCCAGGTCTGAGGGTCCACACCATCGTGGCCCTGGAAACAGGGCAACTGTCATCCTTCTTTACCGTAACCCACCCCCGACCCCAGCCTCGAGCTTCCGTGTCCCACAGCTACTGATTCTCCTTATAACCCGCTCTCTCTACTATGCTCATTCTTGTCTACAGGCACACTATCCTGAATACACCCAATCTCGTCCACTCTGCCTCTCTCTCTCTCTCTCTCTCTCTCTCTCTCTCTCTCTCTCTCTCTC